ATTAGTGGAACTCGAAGGAATATCCTGTTGAACTTTTGTAATACAACACGTTTCCAACAGAAGTTGATAATAAAGTAACTTAAATTAGGTTGGGATGCTAAGAATCATGTGACGAGCCTAAATCAAAGATTTGAAGAAAGAAAATGTCAGCCATCAACCAAAAACAATCCACCCACTCATGGGGGGCCCACAGACATCCCCATTGCCACCACCACCACCACCCATAAATCAGGAGCAAGATCCCAAACTGTTCACCTCGAAACAATTCTACGTTATGCAGCCAATCAGTTGCTTCTGGGAGCAAATGCAATGCCCTTTCTCAATGTTGGCCTTCAATTCAGGCTTTAGATTTTCCAGTGTCTTCTGCTCATACTCCTGTCAAACCTTGGGGTCGGATGAAAGTGATAGCTTCGAGCCCCCATCCTTCCAAGTTTTACTCTTGAATGCAAAGAATGGAAGATCGGTAAGATCTGAACTGCACAAAAGGAGCACTCATAAACATCACCATCTCAACCATCGAGATGCATGGAGGGTAAAGACTCAACAAATCTGACTGTGCAATATGCCATTGACAGGGTGGCAGACCCAATAAGCAGGTGACTATAGACACTGTGTCATTTCAAACTTTCTGTATCAATAGAAAATTTATCTTTCTCCATGGAAGTAAAGCAGGTTTTAAAAAAAATAAAAATTAATAAAAAATTTTAATTAAATGTATTTAACTAAAATTTTAATAGTAAAAATTAGAAAATTTAAGCAAATACTATAAGAGATAAATCAAATAATATGTATACTACCTAAACAATTGGGAATCACAGAAAATTCCCAACGTAAATCCACCAGTAGAGGTTTCTAAACAAAAATAATAAAATGAATACACAAATAGATTTAAGCAAAATCATTAAAGAGAAAAAAATATTATGGAAGAGAAAAAAAAATACCCAATCACTTGGGTTTTTTAAAAATAAAAATGCCAATACTTTCCGCAGTTAATGCAATTAATTTAACGATTCAAATAAGGACAATTTGCCAAAGTGAATTAAGAACGAAAAAAAAATAGTATATGCCTGCCATGGTGAAGCAAAAAACATACAGGTTTATACACCTTCTCTAGCCTTGGATGCAAGAGACGACATAGCATGAATAAAAGAAAAGAAGAAAAAAAAAAAAGCCTTGGTGCGAAGAGACAATAGAGCACGAATAAAGAAGGAGAAGGAAAAAAAAAAAAGAAAGCACAGCGATAAATATTCTCATGTCTTCCAAAAATCATGAATGTCTATCAAATAGAATTGTAGAATAGACACAAAATTGAAATAACTAAAAAACCATGAATATCTTAATCAAATAGAATTGTAGGATAGACACAAAAACCAGATTAAAATATAAAAGATGTAGTGTTTATATTTATATTTAGATAATTCAAACGATTTCTAAGAATTCAATATGGATAATTCATAGCAAATAATAATTAAATGCTTAAGTCATTCCGATCACAACGTAGAAAAATTAAAAAGAAAAACTTAAAAATTTTTATAAAAAAAGGAAAAATAAAATATTGGACGAAGAAAGCCTTGAAGATTTCTCTTTATTTGGAGCTTTATATAAATATATAGATAGATGGAAACAATCCTCTTTATTTCAATGCCTAATTTTTTATTACTTCATTTTAAAATTTCTTATTATATCCTTAATTTAAATGTGTATTTCTTAAATAATGATGAAATATATGACATAATCTTCTAAATATATTCTACATATACAACATAATATTATTATTTTTAAAAAAGGATATTTCTGAAACTATAAATTAGCAAATTGCACGACATGAAACACTTCTACTCTAATAAAAAAAAATAGAAAATTATGTACCACCACAACATGTCGTATATTACATTTTATTTTAAAAAATTGCAACCAACATACATATAAAAATGATGCTCTTTCTTTAACCTTTAAAGTTTAAATATTGGCATATAAAAATTGAAAGGGATTAACTTGTCTTAATTGAGCTTATGGTGTTACTTATGAATTAAATAAATGAAATTATTTTTCTGACTGTAGATTGATTCTTTTTTTATTGTTTCGTGATTTTATTGTTTTTAACTTCCAAATTATGGAATTATTGTAGTGGATGAGGGATTAAAGTTCTTTATTTATTCTTGAAACATGATGTAACTCTATTATCCTCTTCCCTTTTTTAGCAAAGGTATTTTTAATAAAGTTTAATTTATTTACGTTTGTCACAAACAATTTGTTTTGGATTTCAAGTAATTCATCTTAATTAATTATTTTAAGTCGATTTTGTATTGTCGAGCTACTAATCATTTGTCCTTCCTGTTTTTTTGGTATGATTATTTATTTGGTTGCTGCGGATATCATTTATTTATTTAGTGTAGAAACTGATGGATCATAAAGGCTTATATGTGCCTTAAAACCAAAACAAATTGTTTTCTCAAAGTGTTCTTTTAATAGGATTAAGCCTAAATAACTAAGGTATTGTTTATTTTCGATTAAATTTTTTATTTTTCATTTTTTTCTTAAAAAATAAATAAAAATTGTTTGTTTATATTTGTTTAATTTTTTTTCTTTACTTTTTTTAATTTTTTTTTTCTTTAGCTTTTTTCGAAAAACTGTTTTATAAAAAAAAAAATTTTCATCAAATATCATTGTGTTTTTTATTTTTTAATTAATATATTTCTCATTTTTTTTCATTTTTATAAGATTTATCCTCAAAAAGATATTATTATAATAATAATAATTATTATTGATTATTATTTTTTCCCTTGTCTCTAATCTATATAAAATATATTCGTTGTTTAATTTATCCAAATAATCCAAGTAAGAATAATTTTAATCTTTATTAAAATTCTCTGTTTTTTTTTCTATCTCTTCTCTTTTTGTTTTTTTTATAATTTTATTGTTAATTTTTTTTCTAATCTCTATTTAAATCTAATGTCAATTTAGATTAATTTACTTATTTATATACTGTCGATATTACATTTTTATTCAATTGATTGTAATATAATAATCAATAGTTACTGTAAGCTTTGAAATTTAAAAATTAAAGTGTGAAATAATTTTATAATTATTTTGTCCTCAAATTTTGATTTTAAAATTTTTATTATTAACTAAAAAAACTCTTTATGGCTTAATAAGGGAGAAATTCGACTAATTGGAAAACTCTTTATGGCTTAATAAGGGAGAAATTCGATAATTGGAAGAGTTTTTCATATCATGAACCAAAAGAAAAGAGAAAAAATTTAAAAAAAAAAAGAATTTTGAAAAAATAAGTAAACAAAAACTAAAAACTCCTTCATATTTTTAATAAATAAAAAATAAAAAATAAACAACTATAACAAATAAGGCCTAAATTAATTAACCAATCTGAAGACAATAGTTCTATGAACATGTTTCTGGAATCTATGCATGAGCCATTAATATAACTAGTAAGATCACTTACCAAGGGAAATAACATAAAGAAATTTTGGTTAGAATGAGTGTTACATGTTAGAAATTTTATTTCTAATGGGCTTATTAATTCTATATTTTTTGCTTTATAAAATATTTGGTTTAAGTTTAATAGTTTAAAAAATCTTATTTTAAACTCATTATTATAAAGAGTGATCATTAAAAGAATTAATGGGCGAGTTAAATGCGTTTGGTTTTAGTGTGGTTAAATCCTAATCTAGGTTATGATTGTATATCCTATTAGGGTTATGATGGGATAACCTAATAGTTTTCTATATATATGCTATGTCCTCTCTTTCTAGTCTATGTTTTGTTATGATAATACATTAATTTTCACCCATTGGGAGCTTGTAGACATACAGAGGATGCACCTAGTCATTCTATGGATAATTATGCGTAGTTGTTTTAATTTCTTTTTACTTATTGTTATGGATCAAGATTGCATTGATAGAAGCTAACAAAACAACTTGTAAGTTATATTATTATGGCTTTTATTATAATACGGAATTCAAAAAATTCGGCATAAATAGAGAAACTCTATTTGCATGCCATTTGGACATGCTAACATGCTAGGCAGATCATATGGTTATATATTGTTTTTCTTTTTTTTAATTCTTTTTTTTAAGCTTTTAGAAAATCTTTTTTCCTCCTAAATTGCAATAATACTAAATTAATACGAGATATTTCTATTGATTTAGTGAAAGTGAGTGATTAAAACATGATTTTTATATAAATAGTAGGGTATTTGAAATTATTTTAAACACAAAGTTTTCATTTTCGGCATTCCATTTATACAGACAAATTTACTTAATTTTGACAATGGCCAAAGTGAAAAATCTAAATTACCATTGATTTACCCTTTTTAGAGTACTCACTTTTTAGAAAAATAAGAAAGTGGCCGACAATGTTTAAATATTGCATTAAATATAGTTGACTAACCAATTCATAGCTCTGTTATCTTTCTCTCGCCATTTAAAGCAAAATTACATGCAATAAGTCTATAAGTTGAGAGTATTTTCCTAGATTAAACCAAGTACAAACAAGCAGACAAGTAGAGTTTAAAGTTAGCCTTTCAACATGTAAATGAGGTCAAGCTTAAGTTCAAGCATGTCTGAGTTTCATAAGATTCAACTCATTTACAACCCTAGCAAGATTCAACTCATTTACAACCCTAGCTTAACTTAATCAATTTTAAATTCCAATTTTTTTTTGAAAGGATTTTAAATTCCAATTGATCAAAGAAATCTCTTATCTTGAGCTATAAGATCGCCTACCGACATCACCCTAGAGTACTACCGATCAAGCATAAATAATAAATAAACAAATAATAAATGTACCATTAAAATAAAAAAAATACAAAAAAAATACAACTTGATCAAACTAATCTAGTTCGATTTTTTAAGATTTTTGATAATCTCAGTTTCAATTATACTAAAAAATGGTTTTTTTTTTTTTTTCCCAAACTGAATGGAACCAGAAACACACTGATCTAAACAACCAATATCGTAAGCTGATTCAATTCCAAAGTTCAGTTTAAGAAAAAATGAAAATTAAATTTATAGTTTTTGCAGTTTGGTTCGGAACAGAACTGCTTGATTCCACAGCGCCCTAAATAATTGCACTGAAAATAATAGTAAGAACAAATCTATGTCCAACCGTTCCATCTTTCAACATAGGTTTTTTATCAACCAGAATAAAAGCTAATTACATAAAAAAAAAATTAAAAATAAAAAAAGATGTGCCTTTTCATTTCATTGGCAGCAGGGTGATGCAGTCCTCGAGTGAGGTATTGTACAAAGTCGTACGGAGCAAAGATACTGCTGATCAACCTTTGTTGCAGTATCTCAGTACAAATTATCTCAGTATCTCAGTTCAGATATAGCTGAAATTTTATTGCAACAGGAATGTGCCCAGAAATATCTCATTACTCCACTGATAAACCAAAGGCTTGAACAAAGCCCATTTTATCTGCAAGTACAAATTATGGGCTTAAACAGAATTGAAACGTATTACTTCATTCATTCCATAATTTTTGTCCTACTCAGTTGGTACATAAATAAAGCAAATACCTTTTTCATTCATTCCATAATTTTTGTCCTACTCTCTTTTTTCATTTGTCCCAAATTATAATCCTATTTTCTTTTTTTAGAAAAAAGAGAACTTTTTAAGTTTCTCATCAAGTTTCCAATTAACTTTGATTGTCTTAATTCTAGAATTAAAAAAAATTAAATTTTGAATAGTTTCAGTTTCAAGCATAATTTGGCTTATTTTTACCTGTTGTTGTTCCCCTTTCTCTGCCATTCGCAAACTTCAATTCATCTCTCAGAAATTGACAATCTTTTATAAGTGTAACAGTAAAACGACTTTTTCGATTTAATTCAATTCCGGCTATCGGAATGTCGATCAATTCCGGCTATCGGAATGTCGACTAGAAAACTCCTTAACCGACCAATAGCATGCAAAAACAAGACAAGTTCAGATTTGGGTTTGTTTTGCAAAAACAAGCATTTGACCTACAGATACAGAACCAGAGTCACAGATGAATACCATCTGAGAATTGGGACTAAGATTTAACTTGAAATGTAGAGAGAGATTGGACGAGAAACATAAACACAGCATGTTATTTTTTACAAATTTGGGTTCCCAGTTGTTGAATTTGGGGATAAATGTGGTGTCCTTGTGAGAAATTTTAAGGATGGATTTATTCTTTTGCAATTGTTTGCTTTTTTTTCTTGGCGTGTTTGATTCTCTTGTTTTCTTCAGAGGTGGTGAGCTATGGTTATCTATTAATGGTGGGTTGGAGGAGAGAGAAAAAGCAAAGATGAAATTGGAGAGAGAGGTTGTGCTCAGGTGGAGAGAAAGAAAGACTTGTGAGCTATAAAAATTTTAATCATTTTTAAGCTAGCATGGCGTCCAACTGGCATTCCAGCAGCAGGCAGCCAAGTTGATTTAAATCGACAAAAATGCATTTTGCTGTGACACCTATAAAAGATTAGTAACTTAAGGGATGAACCGATAGGGACGACAAAAAGGAAACAGGGTTGAATTCCAACGGACAGGCGGGTTAAACTTAAGCCAAAACAATTTAGTACGAGTCAATTTTTAATTATAATAGAATGGACATGCAATTATCTACTAAGTAATATTAAGAAAAAAAAACTAAGCAAAAATTTATAGTTGTAACCAATATTAACTATATATACATTTTGTGTTAATATAGGTAAAAGTCAAAAAGTCAAACTCCATATCCCTTACATATTAATTAGACCAAAATAAGTAATAAGGGATTAAAACACGTCCAAGCCCACATCCCTTACATATTAGCATGGCTAGGGTGTGCTACACCAACGGCACATGTCTCCAACAATGTAAGAAGCCTAGATGTGCCTTCAAGTTCCACGCAACACTTGTTATATGCCACATCATGAAGCTCTTGTGAAATTTGGTCAACATATAAGGACATGGCTGCCCCATATCGCTTGGCATGGCTCCTTGTAATTGTCCCACTAGGAAGCACCAATGGATCCGTATCATTAGGATACGAAAGTTTCAAATCTAGAAAATAATTCATCATATGAAAGAACTCAAGAATGAATATCGAGTATAATAGATGCTGAAGTATCTCTTGACACTTACTTTCCATGATGGTTTTAAAGGCTTCCTACAAACAGATTATACCAATTACCACAACAATTAGAGATAATGGTGGGAAGTATTCATATCAGGAAAACCACGTAAAAATGTGAATGATATAAATAACTAATATAAATACTGTACATAATTCTGCCAAAATTAATGATAATGAATCAGCAGGCAAAGAAACCAATGAATTATTTTTAATGTGTTGTTGAGATTTGAAAAATTTTGTGAGATACTCATTAGCTATTTGACAAATTTTGGAGGAAATTTTAATTTCATATTAGTTTATTTTATACTTATCCTACAAGTAAGATTAAGATAGGCAGCAAGCATGTATTGCTTGTAAGCTTGGAAAGTTAAGCATTAGAATGGTTAAAATTAACTTATGGTTTTAAGAAAGGTTAAAATTAACTTATGGTTGAGGTATGAGCTAGCAGCTATCCTTAAGGGCCATCCACTTTTGCAACTTATTTTATGGTAGAAACTCTCTAAATAACAGAGTTGCTGGCAATCAATGAAATCGGTGCCATATTGAGGCTTCATTTTAGGAGCAGAACGCAGTAATTTGAGCGTGTATTATGTTTGTCCACCTCTGGCCATTTATAACATATATCAAAAAGGAAAGAAAGAAAAGCTTGACTAAATCCACATTCCATAGTTACACGTTGGTTTTGTCTTGAAGGTATTTTGATAGGTTGTTACTAAGAAAAATAATTAATTTAAACAAAAAAAAAAAAGAAAAAAATATGATAGATTATAACGCACATGTTTTCATAAGGATCACCATCTCCTCATCTTCTGTTTAGCCTGGGATGTACAGTCATTTCCTCTCCAACAGTATAACCTGTGCGTCACAACAAAGGTTAGCATGATCAGCTGGACAAATCAGATATATAACAGAGGTAAGAAATGGCTCCATACAGTGAATCCCTTGTAATCATGAGCAGGATAGATCAAAGTATCCTTGGGCAAGGTGAATATCTGATTCCAACAAAAATACAGCCAGGTCAACTCATGTTTCATTATCTGTACACTTTCTAGTTTATTCATTTCATGTCCTTGCCTGTGAATGCACTGACTGATAAAGTTGATGTGAACTTCCGCCCTGTAAGTAAATATTAATAAGGTCAGAAACACTGCTTGATATCTTCTATACAATGTACCCTTAAGAAAAATCGAGTGCTCAGTAACATTCCAAAATATAAGTTAGCAAACCTGAAAATCAGTTCTCCCACATCCCCGTATTAGTAAAGCATCCCCAGTAAAAGCCATCTTTGGTTGTGGCTGATCAGGCCCATCTCCAGTAAGATAAGTAACACAACCTAATGTATGCCCAGGGGTAGCTCGAACCTTCAACATAAAATAACAAATGATTGGGTCCAGTAATGGGTGGATAGATAGAGACAAAAAGATGAAATGAACAAAAATCAATGTGCAAAAACATTGAAAAGATAATAAATGCATTTTTTGCTCTTGCTACTCTTGTACATATTATATTTGGTATATGCATTACAATGACAATAATGCATTACCATTCTACCATGTATTGTCATGAAGGATGGCTTGGCAGGTTATCACTGAATCTCAGACACTATTCATATCATGTGCAGAGCACTTTTTCGTTAGAGGGAATGCATTTTGCATCTTTCTAGTACTATTTTTCTGTACTCACTTTAATACTATTTTCTCTTGATGTCATCAAAGTAATACTATTTTCCTCTAATATTATTTCTCTGTACTATTCTCTTGTACTATTCTAATCTACAAATAACCTTCAACTTAAGAAAGAAAAAGGGAAAAAAAGGTTAGAAAAACGTTTACAACTTAGTAAGTCCATTTACCATTTATGAATTGTGCTTAGTAAGTGCAGCCTCCAGCAATCAAAAACACACAGACCAACTAAAGATTGACTCTACCAGATAGTTTTGACTCTGTTTCTAGGTATAATGTTAAGAGGTTCTTTGGCAAAAGGTATAATAACTCACATTTAAAATATAAGAAAGGAGGGAAAAACTAAGCCCATGAACATTAAAATTGTAGAAATTTAAAAAGCAATATGCCACTATGCATTTCGATTATTGAAAGCGTCTAGAATTCTAACACCAATTTTGGGACCAACTTTAATTACTCAAATATCTCTTTGCTCTTTGTGTTTTATGTATAACCTGCTTTATGATTGGCTTTTATGATTAAAAGAACACTAATTGTTACTAGATAGTACTTTGGACCGGCAATCCCCTAAGTTGCAACCATTAGAATCACTTCTTGAAAATGTGAACCTATAAATTTAGAGCGCATTCACCCAATGACATATTAAAAAAAAAAATTTGGTGAACGTAGAATCCTTGACAACATTCATCGAAAAAAATTAAGTCAATACTTCTCAAAGGAAGACTATCAATAGTAAAATAATTAGACATTTTAAGATCAAATTCATTGGTGCCAAAATCAATATAAGGTCACTTTTGTAATGGAATTTGGCATAATACATAAGCCCATACAGCACTCTGCGAATTTAGAAAACTTCAGTGGACCTACGGAGATCGAGAAATTCACATTGGGTCCTGTATCCTATTCTTATAATGTGTCCTTACACTTAAAAGCCATAATTGTCGACCTGATTCTCCTCCCCTCTCCTTCTTGGTTGTGCCCAATGGGCCAATTGTTTTAAATCTTTTTGCCAAATTGGTCAATTCTTTTTTATTGTTTTTATCTTTTGCCAAATTGTCAATTCTTTTTAGATCTATCAGACATAAGCCAAGCTATATATTGATTCTACAATCTCCAACGAAATAATACCACATTCAGCTACCTAATTTTTCCTTTTTTAGATTTCAGCATGACTATTCACTGCCAATCTGTTGGCTGCTCCTCTTCTTAATTTGAAACCTTCATGCTTCATCTCATAGATTGGAGAGCAGGATTTCAAATGAACTACTTACACAGCTGAGTTTCGTGGTTATTATGAATCAAAGAATGAAGTATTGGAAGCTATTTGGATGATTACTTTTTAGTGCTCATAAACTTGGTGACTTCATAAACTTGGGTGACTTCAAAGGAATATGGCGAGTTTATTAAATTTGGCTTTGGTTGCCGTGGAATCAGAAACAGATTGACTTGCATCTTCTTTAACTCAGCTATTATTCTAGATTATGAAAATGTCATTATTTTTTTCTAGGGAGTATATTTTTTTTTTTTTCTTTTTTTTTTTTTTTTTTTTTTTTTTGGTAAGAAATATCAAGAGTTGGTTGCTTCATCTAACCTCCAAGGAACCCCTTTCCTTTGCTGCTAAAATTATTTGCCACAAATGACTGTTGAACCTTAATCTAACAACAATCTTTATTGGCAGAATAAAGATAACACTACAATCTTTATAGGCTAATCACTTCTTTTTTCTCTTAAAACAAGTTACAAATATCCAAATTTTGCCAAATACCCACTTCTTTTAAGTTGGAAGGCAATGTTAAAATTTGCTTCTTATTTCAGCGTACATATGCAGATCTAAAATATCCAGGATAAGCTGACAGAATTAAGAATCTGAAGATTTTAGGATATTTGAGATGATTCGATCTTTGTTCAATTACTTTGCACAAAAAAGCTACATTACAAAAGCTAATAACATGAATGGTACCTCCAGAAACAAATCGCCGAAATGTATTTTAGAACCAGCTTGAATGAGAAGATCAGCTTTTGAATTGCTAGCTTTTGAAATAATAGATTTCACGCCAGGAAGCTTTGTCTGCAAATTGAGCATAAAAACTGATGAAACATTTGCGTTTATAAATCTAATTTGCAAATTAAATGCAGCCAAACCTTTATCAATCCAGTTCCCGTCACATGATCAGCATGCACATGAGTATTTATAGCATAAATTAGCTTTATTTATAGCATAAATCTAGCTTTATAACCTACCTAACTCTTTTACAAGGGGATGAGGTCTCTGTCCACTGTTTTAATCAACTGGATCAAATCAACTGCACAGAAAGGTTATCACACACACACACACACACACACCTACATATATATATATATATATATATAATTAGATCAAGAATAAAGAAATTGAATGATAAAAAAGAAAAACGAGAAAACCAAGAGGCAGGTTTTATCAGGGTGAGCAACATCGCCGCAAATAGGTATAAGTAGAAAGGACTCGGACTCCTTGTCTCGAAAAGGCTGGCGAACAGAGCTGCTTGACGAGCCCAGAAGACTGAACGCCCGGCATAATTGCTTTGCTCATTGCGCAGAAATCTGGGCACTGCCGTATTCGCGACTTTGAAAAAGGACGAATGGCGTGAAAAGAAAGTCGGGAAAGCATATTTAAACGAAGCATTGTTGTTAATGATGTTCAATTTGGCGTGAAATCGGGGCAGCACTTAGCTAAATTGGGTTGCTATTTTTTGAAAGTGAATTTCGATGTTGACGTTATCGCGCCGTAGCCTCAACTCTTTTATCTTCTTTAAGGGACCAAAGACAAAAAACGTTTCAGGCTTAAGGGACAAAGACAAAAACGTTCAGGCCAACTTCAAGCAATTTATTTGTATTAAATTGCTTGAAGTTCTCAGCAGATTAATGTGCAAAAAACAATATTGACACTGAAAAATTTTTTCTCACTAAATGAGATTAAATTTAAAAATTTTAAAGCCTTATATATTTATTTTAAAAATATTTTAAAAAAATTAAATACTCAAATGTCTAATTATCTTATATGTAATTTTGATAGTTAAAAGTATACTGGCCAAAATATGACCTCGAAAAGAAGTAAAGAAGATGGAAGAAATATAAGAGAAAGCACCAAATGGATAACTCAACTACTATATATCAATTCTTTAGTACTTAACTGGTATAGCATTGTAAAAACTTCTTTGAAGATCGTCTTTCTGCTTGGAAAGATAAGCATCTCCACCCATATAAGCAAGAACCAAGCATGGATAAACAACTCCTGTAAATGCAATCTATTTCAAGAAGGAATCAATAATTCAACATTCAAGAAGGAATCAATAATTCAACAATCACATTTCTTCATAATCGATTCAATAGCTTAAAACATCATAAATTGAAGTAGGCTAGGAAAATAGATATCATGAGAGGAAGTTGTGAGAAATGGCCAAGATCAATAAGAAGGGAAGATGAGATTTTAGGGATTTGGTGACTGCATACAAGTTATTATCGAGAAGGAACAAGATGGAGAAGAAAGAAGGAGAGCGATGAAATTAGGGATTTTAGACTAAATCAAAACGGTGCGTTTTGTTGTATAAAAGGGAGTTTTGCTCATTTCTAGGGGCTTAGTTTTGTGGGTAAATCGAAAATCTTAATTTAAGTATTGAAAATAAAACTTAAATTCTTCTAATTTATTCTGAATTTTTTAAAATATGGTAAATAATTATTATTAGAGTCTTTTAGTTAAATAAAATGAAATTAAAATAAAATTTTTTAAATATATTATTTTTCTATGATTTTCTATGATTTTCATGTAAATTGGATTATTTTTACATTATTAAATTTCTAAAATTTTTTATAATTCTAATTTTAAATAAAAAAAAAAAAAAATTATAAATTTGACTAATATATCAAATACGAATTCCTTTTTTAGTCTAATAAAATTTTTTGAAAAAAAGTAAACTATAGAAGTTTGAATTAAAGAAAAAATGGTTATTTAGACATATTTCTCTCTTTTTATTTGATATTTTATTCTATTATTTTGAAATTTATTGAATTTCATTTAAATTTTTATGATTTAATAATACGTAATTTTTTAAAAATACTTTTTAAAAATTACATATAAGATAATTAGACATTTGAGAACATTTGAGAATTTAATTTTTTTTAAAATATTATTTAAATAAATATATAAGGCTTTAAAATTTTTAAATTTAATCTCATTTAGTGAGAAAAAATTTTTCAGTGTCAATATTGTTTTTTGCACATTAATCTGCTGAGAACTTCAAGTAATTTAATACAAATAAATTGCTTGAAGTTGGCCTGAACGTTTTTGTCTTTGTCCCTTAAGGAAGATAAAAGAGTGGAGGCACGGGCGATAGGTTTAACATCGAATCACTTTCAATAATAGCACAATTTAGCTAAGTGCTGCCCGATTTTCACCATCAAATTGAATATCATAACAACAATGCTTCGTTTAAATATACTTCGACTTTCTCTTTCGATGTCATGATCCTTTTCAAAGTCGTAATACGCAGTGCCCAGATTCTGCACAATGAGCAATTATGCGGCGTCGTCTTCTGGGCTCTTCAAGCAAGCCTCTGTTTCGCCAGCTCTTTCGAGGAGGATCCTCTACTTTATACCTATTTGCTGGCGGCTGATGTTGCTCCACCCTTGGATAAACCTTGCTCTGAGTTTTCTTTTTTCTTTTTTTTATCATCCAATTTTTTTCTTTATTCTTGTTTGATATATATATATATTAATATATATGTGAGTGTGATTAACCTTTTCTGTTTGCAGTTTATTGATTCCAGTTGATAAAACAGTGGACAAGAGACCTTCCCTTGTAAAAGAGTTTAGGGTTTAAAGCAAAATTTATGCCTATAAATACTCATTGCATTTGCTGATCATGTGATGGAACTGGATGATTGAAAGGTTTGGCTGCATTTAATTTGTGCATTTAATTTGCAAATTACATTTATAAATGCAAATGTTTCATCAGTTTTTATGCTCAATTTGCAGACAAAGCTTCCTGGCGTGAAATCTATTATTTCAAAAGCTAGCAATTCAAAAGCAGATCTTCTCATTCAAGCTGGTGATAAAATACATTTCGGCGATTTGTTTCTGGAGGTACCATTCATGTTATTAGCTTTTGTAATATAGCTTTTTTGTGCAAAGTAATTGAAGAATGGCCGAATCATCTCAAATATCCTAAAATCTTCAGAGTCTTAATTCTGTCAGCCTATCCTGGATATTTTAAATCTGCATATGTACGCTGAAATAAAAGAACTGGGTATTTAGCAAAAATTGGATATTTGTAACTTGTTTTAAGAGAAAAAAGAAGTGTGCAGAACATTAGGCTATAAAGATTGTAGTGTTATCTTTATTCTGCCGATAAAGATTGTTGTTAGATTAAGGTTCAAAGGTTCAACAGTCATTTGTTGGCAAATAATTTAGCAGCAAAGGAAAAGGGGTTCTTGGAAGTTAGATGAAGGCAACCAACTTCTTGTATTTTCTTACCAAAAAAAAACAAAAAAAAAAATTATTACTAGAAAATTATGGAAATTTCATTAATCTAGGTATTAATAGGTTGCGAGTTAAAAGAAGACTGCAAGTCAACAAGTCAATCTTTCCTTATCCCAGCAACCAAAGAAAATTTATAAACTACATTATTTCCTTGAAGTCACCAAGTTTATGAGTACTAAAAAATAATCATCCAAATAGCTTCCAATACTTCATTCTTTGATTCATCATAACCACGAAACTCAGCTGTGTATGCAACCTCTATTATTTTATCTGTGCTCCTATTCGGTTTTGTGTTCTATTTTAAGAATAGCTAGCTTTAAACTTCCATCCTTAACCTTATCATTATTGATTTGATTATCACACATTGATCTTGATGCCACAAAACAATATTCAAAGGAGAGAAGAAAACTCTTCCAAAGATACACCTCAGATGAGCACAATAGAATATTGTACAAACCATTCACTAATTTTTCAACTTTATTAGAACTTCAATATTAGTTGTTTTTCTAATACTTATCTTACAGTAAGATAGATAGCAGCAGCATGTATTGCTTTGTAAGCTTGAAAGTAAGCATTAGAATGGTGATAAATTTAACTTATGGTTGAGGATATGGCACTGTCTTAAGCACTCCACTTTTGCATTCATTCTATGTAGAAACTCCAAATATACAAAGAGTTACTGCAATTAATAAATCTGCCATATTAAGGTTTCATTTTTTACAGAACCTGTAATCTGAGCGTGTAACTTAATGTTGTCACTTCTGGACCATTTATCACAGTATATCAAGAAAGGAATAGAAAGAAAAGCCCGACTAAAATCGCCACAATCCATAGGTTAACGTTGGTTGATCTTTGAAGGCTATTTTGATAGGTGTTGCTAGATAATATTTAAACAAAAAAAACAAAGAGAAAAAAAGAAGTTATAACGCCAAATCGTTATGTCCATAAGGACTCACCTCATCTTTGGTAGCCTGGAATGTACAGCAATATTCTCATCCAACAGGTGACTGACCTGTGCGTCACACAAAGCGTTTAGCATATCAAGCTGGACAATCAGAATATAAAGCAGGAAGAAATGCTAAGAAATGGCTCCATACAGTGAATCCCTTCTAATCATGAGCAGGATAGATCAAAGTATCCTTGGGCAAGGTGAATATCTGATTCCAACAAAAATACAGCCAAGTTAACTCATGTTTCATTATCTGTACACTTTCTAGTTTATTCATTTCATGTCCTTGCTTGTGAATGCACTGACTGATAAAGTTGATGTGAACTTCCGCCCTGTAAGTAAATATTAATAAGTTCAGAAACACTGCTTGATATCTTCTATACAATGTACCCTTAAGAAAAATTGTACCCTTAAGAAAAATCGAGTGCTCAGTAACATTCCAAAATATAAGTTAGCAAACCTGAAAATCAGTTCTCCCACATCCCCGTATTAGTAAAGCGTCCCCAGTAAAAGCCATCTTTGGTTGTGGCTGATCAGGCCCATCTCCAGTAAGATAAGTAATATAACCTAATGTATGCCTAGGGGTAGCTTGAACCTGTCAAAATAAAATAACAAATGATTGGGTCCAGTAATGGGTGGATAGATGGAGACAAAAAGATGAAATGAACAAAAATCAATGTGCAAAAATAGTGAAAAGATAATAAATGCATTGGTTGCTCTTGCTACTCTTGTACATATTATATTTAGTATATGCATTGCAATGACAATAATGCAATACCATTCTACCATGTATTGTCAGAACACTAATGCTTACTAAGAATAGTACTGGACTAGCATCCTAAGTTGCAAAACGCATCCTAAGTTGCAAAACAAAATTAGAACCTTCTTGAAAATGTGAACCTATAAATTTAGAGCCATCACCCCAATGACATATTCAAAACAAGATTGTGATGTAGAATCCTTACAACATTATGAAAAAATTAAGTCAAATACTTCTCAAAAGGAAGACTATCAATTGTAATAATTAGACATTTTAGCTAAAATTATTGGTGCCAAATCATATAAGTCACTTTGTAATGGAATTTGCATATGCATATGCCAATACAGCAGGCTGGATTTAGAAAACTTCAGTGGACCTACCAGAGATGAGAAATTCACATTGGGTCATGTATCACTATTTTAAATGTTGTCCTATACTTAAAAAGGATATTGTCGACCTGATTCCTCTTGTTTTGCCAATCGGCCATTGTTTTTATCTTTTAGCCTATCTTTTGCCAAATTGTCAATTCTTTTTAATTCTATCAGACATTAGCCAAGCTATATATTGATTCTACAATCTCCAACGAAATAATACCACATTCAGCTAAATAATTTTTCCTTTTTTAGATTTCAGTATGACTATTCACTGCCAATCTGTTGGCTGCTGCTCTTCTTAATTTGAAAAATTTGAAACCTTCATGCTTCATCTCATAAATTGGAGAACAGGATTTCAAATGGACTACTTAGAGGATAAAGACTGTACTTTGAGAAGCCAAGTGTTCTATAAAGTGAAAAATTACTGATGGTTGTACAATATTCTATTGTGCTCATCTGAGATGTATCTTTGGAAGAGTTTTCTTCTCTCCTTTGAATATTGTTTTGTGGCATCAAGATCAATGTGTGGTAATCAAATCAATAATGATAAGGTTAAGCATGGAAGTTTAAAGCTAGCTATTCTTAAAACAAAACACAAAACTCAATAGGAGCACGGATAAAATAATAGAGGTTGCATACACAGCTGAGTTTCGTGTTTATCATGAATCAAAGAATGAAGTATTGGAAGCTATTTGGATGATTATTTTTTAGTGCTCATAAACTTGGTGACTTTCAGGAAAGTAATTGTAGTTTTGAAATTTGCTTTTGGTTGCTGGGATCAGAAAACAGATTGGACTTGCACTTTACTTTAACTCAAGCTATTAATCCTAGATCTATGCAATTCTATTTTCTCATTATAAGTTTAAGGCATGGAAGTTTAAAGCTACTTATTTCTTAAAACAGAACACCAACCCATTAGGGACACAGATAAAATAATAAGAGGTTGTAATCACACACGCTAGTTTCCTGTTATCATAATCAAGACATGAAGTATATGGAAGACTATTTTGGATGGCATTATTTTTTAGGTGCTCATAACTTGGTGACTACAAGGAAATAATGTAGTTATAATTTCTTGGTGGCTGGTAAGGAAGATTCGACTTGTATTCTTCTTTAACTCCAACATTTAATCCTAGATTATGAATCTTATATTTTCTAGTATAATTTTTTTTTTTTTTTTTTTTTTTTTGGTAAGAAATATCAAGAGTTGGTTGCTTCATCTAACTTCCAAGGAACCCCTTTCCTTTGCTGCTAAAATTATTTGCCACAAACGACTGTTGAACCTTAATCTAACAACAATCTTTATCGGCAGAATAAAGATAACACTACAAGATAACACTACAATCTTTATAGCCTAATGTTCTGCACACTTCTTTTTTCTCTTAAAACAAGTTACAAATATCCAAATTTTGCCAAATACCCACATCTTTTAAGTTGGAAGGCAATGTTAAAATTTGCCTTTTATTTCAGCATACATATGCAGATTTAAAATATCCAGGATAGGCTGACAGAATTAAGAATCTGAAGATTTTAGGATATTTGAGATGATTCGGCCTTTCTTCGATTACTTTGCACAAAAAAGCTACATTACAAAAGCTAGTAAAATGAATGGTACCTCCAGAAACAAATCGCCGTAATGTATTTTATCACCAGCTTGAATGAGAAGATCAGCTTTTGAATTGCTAGCTTTTGCAATAATAGATTTCACGTCAAGAAGCTTTGTCTACAAATTGAGCATAAAAACTGATGAAACATTTGCGTTTATAAATGTAATTTGCAAATTAAATGCAGCCAAACCTTTATCAATCCAGTTCCTGTCACATGATCAGCATGCACATGAGCATTTATAGCATAAATTAGCTTTAACCCTAACTCTTTTACAAGGGTGAGGTCTCTGTCTACTGTTTTATCAACTGGATCAATCAACTGCACAGAAAAGGTTATCACACACACACATATATATATATATATAATTAAATCACAAGAATAAAAGAAAAATTGATAATAAAAAAAAAAAAGAAAAACACACAAAACCAGAGCAGGTTTATCAGGGTGAGCAACATCAGCCAGCAAATAGGTATAAGTAGAGGACTCCTTCTCGAAAAAAGAGCTTGCTTGAGAGCCCAGAAGACGACGCCGCATAATTGCTCATTGCGCAGAATCTGGGCACTGCGTATTGCGACTTTGAAAAGGATGATGGCGTTGAAAGAGAAAGCCGAAGCATATTTAAACGAAGCATTGTTGTTATGATATTCAATTTGGCGGTGAAATCGGGCAGCACTTAGCTAAATTGTGCTATAATTAAAAGTGATTCGATGTTGAACCTATCGCTCGTGCCTCCACTCTTTTGTCTAGGGACAAAGACAAAAACGTTCAGACCAACTTCAAGCAATTTATTTGTATTAAATTGCTTGAAGTTCTCAGCAGATTAACGTGCAAAAAACAATATTGACACTGAAAAATTTTTTCTCACTAAATGAGATTAAATTTAAAAATTTTAAAGCCTTATATATTTATTTAAAAAATATTTTAAAAAAATTAAATTCTTAAATGTCTAATTATCTTATATGTAATTTTTAAAAAGTATTTTTAAAAAATTAAATATAATTAAATCATAAATAAAAAATTAAATGAAATTCAATAAATTTCAAAATAATAGAATAAAATATCAAATAAAAAGAGAGAAATATGTCTAAATAACCATTTCTTCACTAATTCAAACTTCTATGGTTTACTTTTTTTCAAAAAATTTAATTAGACTAAAAAAGGAATTCGTATTTGATATATTAGTCAAATTTATAATTTCAAACTTCTATTTTTTTTATTAAAATTAGAATTATAAAAACTTTTAAAATATAATAATGTATAAATAATCCAAATACGTGAAAATCGTAGAAAAATAATATATTTAAAAAATTTTATTTGAATTTCATTTTATTTAACTAAAAGACTCTAATAATAATTATTTACTATATTTTGAAAAATTCAAAATAAATTAGAATAATTTAAGTTTTATTTTCAATACTTAAATTAAGATTTTGGATTTACCCACAAAACTAAGCCCCTAGAAATGATCAAAACTCCTTTTTTTACAACAAAACGCACTGTTTTGATTTAGTCTAAAATCCCTAATTTCATGCTCCCTTCTTCTTTCGTCTCTTGTTCCCATTCTCGATAATAACTTGTATGAGTCACCAAATCCCTAATTCATATCCTTCCCTTTCTTATTATTTGGCCATTTCTAAATTGCCTCTCATAATATCTATTTTGCCTAGACCTACTTCAATTTATGATGTTTTAAGCATATTGATGTGATTATGAAGGACAATTTGATTTGTTGAATATATTTGATTCCTTCATTTGAAATAGATTGCATTTACAGAGGTTGTTTATCCATCTTGTGTGGGTTCTTGCTTTATGGGTGCGATCTGGCTTATCCTTTCCATCACAAAGAGGATTTCAAAGAAGTTTTACAAAGGGCATACCAGGTAAGTGCTAAAGAATTTGATACATAGTTAGTTGAGTTATCCATTTGGTGCCTTTCTCTAATATCTTCCTTCTTCTTTTACTTCTTTTCGAGGTCTAGTTTTGGCCAGTATACTCTTTAACTTATCAAACATTTTAAAATATGATAGTTATGACTCATGTACTCCACATGGTAATACTGCAATGTGTTTCTAATCACAGATTGTAATTTGAGAGGTAGGATTATGTCTTACAGAGGATCCAAGTTGATCATCCATTTTTTGGGTAGTAGCTTTAATGTGTATAGAGTATAATGTGTATAGATATCAATAGAATGAGTAGGGATAATTAGTTAATATCTGGCACCATCCATAAGGGTATACAATCATACCTAACAGATAAGATAGATACCATGGGCTAATGTTCAGCATACCCTAATGTAATATCATGTTGAAAATATTATGACCATCCAGGCTATTCATACCCAAATATATTGATGCATGGGTGTAGATTTATCATAGCCATGGAAAATTTTTCAGGCTAATATCAAAACTTCCACCTGGCCCATGGGACATTGAAATACGGGTTATTATATCCAATTGGTTGGATATGATAATTATGTCATCAACCTTACGGGTCATACGACTAATTGGTATATAGATACCCTTAGATAATAAGATTCATTCTTATCCAATTTTTTCATAGATAATTGGATATAATAACCCATATACATCAAGCTAAGTTAAAAAAAAAGGGTATCCCGAAGTCTCCATATACCAACAATTACACAATATATCTCAGTATGATAATTAAAATCTAGGAATAGGTAATACCTAGAATATTATACCTATAAGTATGATATCACCAGGATTCTGCTGGTCAACCAGGTATTGATTATCCGGTACATAGCAGTAATGGCTATGTTGTGGATTACCTATTCATTCATAACGGTTGGTACGCATAATTTAGTTGGGCGTGGTTATATGAATTGATATCCTAATAACGATAAGGACGGAATAATACTTATTGGCCGTATAATGGCGGTAGTTGACCTATTTGGGACAATCCAGGTATTGTCCACATTAGGCTTACGTGTTTGATTTGTCCATGCATTGATCATTGACCATTGAAGTAGTGATCAATGTCATTTCTATCTTAAATTATACTTATCTAAAAAAAAAACAATTAGAGCTATAGTCAATAATTTTATTACATCCAGTATACAAGTTATTATCAAGTCAGTTAATGATCGATAATACATTATCATACAATAGATTGTCTAGGGGCAAATATCCAATCCTTACTCACTCAAATATATAATATTTGCTTATTCAGCTCATTGTATTTCAGATCATGATACATTTTATAGACTATTCCTGCTTCTATGTTCGTGCTATCAATATGACAATCTTGATTTAGTTGTACAAAAGTTCGTCGAACTGCATCAATTGTAAAGTAAACACCTTATCGGATTACAACTGTGGATATGGTTTTGTCCCATAATGCTTGGTTACATTTGATCGATTAAGATATGTATTAGATGCAAGCATATGTTCCTAAGTGCCGATTAAGTATTATAGATGCAAGCATCATGTTCCTAAGTGGTTGTATTAATTATGCTAATATATGCCTAACTTGATACCATATGTGTGTCCATCTTAGCTATTAGAAGAGATCAGTTTTGACCAACTAAGTGTTTAGCTAGGTTATATCTAGTAAATCATTCTAATGTAAATGCATATGTCATTTATGGGGCATCATTGGATTTGACCCTTATTAATATCTATATATAGGTACCTTGGACACATCATTGAACATGATGGATCAAGTGATAACTCCCAAATGTCATGGATATGGGCAAATGAATATCTGCTAACCTTGATTAAATTTGCCCCAATTCCATCCTAGTAATGGAATTGATGTGGCTATATTTCACTGGATATGCATTCGACACTATATAGGTGGAAACAATGCATTTAATTCATACATGATACAGAGCAATATGTATTGGTACAATAGTCTTAATAATCATCTATGCCAGCTGATATGAGTCACTACTATTAACCACAATATCAATTAATAGCACAATCTATTTTATTCCTTAACCAGTGGTACTTATCAATATGGTTATTCCTATGCATATGCATACAATAAACTTCATTCCTATCTCATGATTAACTAATGAATATTCCAGATGGATAAGATTAACCATCTTAATGTATACGTGTATTTAATGATCATTTAGGAATATTCCAGACCTAGTACCACACATAGGAGTACCAACTAAAAATTCCATATGCCTGTGGATATGCTTATCACACTCAACCAGACTGGTAGTCTTTTTTATGTCACCAATATGAGTTCTAATTATTTGGGTACCAACTTTTCAGTTTAGTTTAACCCAATGACTCCAATTTATAGAATAGTTCAACCTTAACTAGGTCCAGTCAAGGACCTTGAGTAGTGATCAGCTGTAATACTACGAATAGCCCCCCAATTAATTCGGAAAAGTATCCTTATATCTGGAATCTGTTGACCTTTCATTGAAGCAATAAGTGACCTATTAGCTAATTATATACCCATAGAGCTTCATGCATACTTCCATCATAGTAAGTGGCAAGTATTTAAAAGTATAGCTTTCTGAAGTGTATAACTATTAGTCAGGAACTTATTGAGGTGATATGCTGCGTATAACTTGAAATATACTTGAGTTTATATACTATAATCCTATGGTGTGTTATAGGATCATAATAAGTATACCCAGTATTTATTAAATATTTGGTTAATTTATGTGCTGTGATATATAGCTAGATATTTATCAGATTACCAACCATGTCATGGTGGTATTAAATTAAGTAAATATGGCATTTTAAATGGTGTTTATTAGGATGTCATTGGGATAGGTGATATGCCCTTCTAGTTTAGGGTATTTACTTCTGCATGCCCCATTGTACTAGCTTAGTTTAACAATCTATTGGATAATGTATTTAATAATTATGGAAACATTATTGATCCACCCTCCTATGGGTATAACCAGCAACTACATATCCCCGTTATTATAATGTTGTGTACATTGTCTATCACTATCATAGGTATTACCCTACTATTTACATAGATACCTCTTGGTAATTTGGAATATTCTACCAAATCAATATACTGAAAGGGACTTGCATAATTTGTTAGGGTATCCTCACTACTCTTGTAATCTTGACATATACTTATGTGGTATCAGGTTAAGTGACCTGTCATAACCTATACACTATGCCATAGTTATAATATTCCCCTTGCATACCATAAATAGTGTATAGATTTGTTAACCATGCATACCCTGTTTAAACTAATGTTACCTGTGAGTCCCCTCTCGAGCGCCATGGAAAAGATCTGAATGACGAAATTTAACCAGACGGGCCTATTGGTCGGTTCTTCATGGAAATAGGAACTCCGTTGGTTCCTTTTTATTGATTATGGCTTGGTTTAGTGCTTAAGTGTATCGTATTAGCTCTTTGGAGCGCTTTGACAGGTGTGTGATGTGTTTAGAGTCGCCACCTTAATTTTTTTTGTTTCAGGGAAAATACTAAGGGAAAAAACCCTGTGATTGACTTCAATTTTAGTTTTGCCTTTTAGGTGAAAAGCATTAGCATTGAATCATTAGGTTCGGGGACTAGGTTTTTGGCTTCTTTCAATTTGAATCAATCATTTGGGTTTTAATCAAGAAATCAAAATATTGTTTGCATGGATGACTGTTATTAGTACATGAGCTTACTTTTAATGCATGGCAATATAAAAAATATAGAGCATTAAAAGCATAAATAATTGAAAGGATGTAATT